GTGCTTTAATGTTGATTAGTCTATTTTAATATGCATTAATGCATTATTAAAAAACCCATATTTTTTAGTTAATGCACATTAAAATAGGCTAATGCGTGTTTAAAGTATCACTAACTGCCCTTTATAAGAAATAGAAGAAGGATCTGAGGTCAGCCTGACCTGGATACATGAAAAGATCGTAGATCAGGTTCTCAAGGAATTCACTGTGAAGCACCTAGAGGATAGCAAGGTGCTCAGGAACAGCCCACATGGATTCAGCAAGAGCAAGTCATGCCTGACCAATCTTATTTCCTTCTATGATGAAGTGACAGGCTCTGTGGATAAAGGGAGAGCAGTGATTGTGTTGTACCTTAACTTTATCAAGGGCTTTGATATCGTCTCTCACAACACTTATTAAGAAGCTAAGGAAATACAGACTAGAGAAAAGTACTGTAAGGTGCATACATAGCTGGTTAGATCTGTCAGCGTGTCCATCAAGTACCCCCTCTATCCTTGTGTTTCCCGCCTGCCACGACTTGGATCTTAAAGAAATGAAATAGGGAGGAAGTGGTTGTTACAAGAGGAAGTACCCGCGGGAAGTACCACGCTGCAATAAACTTAGTTTTCTCCTTTTTGCTTTTATTCAGTGGTTTGCAGGTGTTAACAGGGAACTCCCCTCTTGGGGTGGGGTGGGGTGGGGCAGGGAGATCACAGTCCAAAGGGTTAATCTTGGGGTCTCCAGCCTCCGAGCCAGCCCCCGTTCTAGGGTTACAGTTCAGGAAAGCCGCGCCGCCTTCATCCAATTACTCTATTAGCAGCTTGCTATGGCTGTGGTTAGTCCTCTCCTGGCCGCTAACAAGCCAATTAGCGGCTTGTTACAGCTGCCGCCTGCAGCTTTCCCTTGGCAGAGCTGGCGTGCAGACTCTGCGGCTCTCCTTTGATCTCCCAGACCTCAGCGCCGTGTTCCCCTTTGGGGCGTCCTAGAGTCTCCCGGACCCTCCCGGGGTCCGTGTAGGAGTTCTTCCCCCTCTCGCCACCTCTTCAACTCACTGGAGCCTCCCCAAACTTTGATAGCAGCGTCTGCTTCTGTCCATGGTGTGGCTCCTCTCCTCTCGTTACTCACCGCCGTCCCTGTATTTTCCAGATCAGTCGGTGTCTGGGCTTCAGGATCCCTTTGCCCTCTCTGATCCTGGGTTGGGTCCCACTTCCCAGATCCTTCTCTCTGGGTTACCCTCTCTTGCAGCTCCTCTCAGTGCTTCCACTCCAGTGCCCGAAGGCATCCCTCCTCCTCTTCCTCTCTGTTTTATCCTCTGGAGTCTAGTCGCCATTGGCTCTTTAGGGCCGAGGGCCCACCCTCCTCGTGGTGTAATTATTTCTGGCTGTCCCCACTCCCTTAGCAACAGGGTCTCAATGGGGACCCTGTTACAAGATCATTATGCTTGATGCATAGTCATTAATGGCTCTCTCTCTAGTTGGAGGAAGTATCAAGTGGCTCTGGTAGTGTTCAACATCTTCATTAATGATTTGGATGATGGGATTTAGTGCATGCTTACCAAATTTGTGAATGACACCAAGTTGGATGGAGTTGCAGACACTGGGGGGGTCAGGGCTAAGATTCATAATAACCTGGATAGACAGGACACCTGGCCTGCAGTCAACAAGATGAAATTCAACAAGGACACAAGTGTAAACTCCTGCATTTGGAAGAGAATAATTGCATGAACAAACACAGAATGGGGAGTGATGGGCTAGGCTGCAGTACTGTAGAGAAGGACCTGGGGTTACAGTAGATCATAAACTGAATATGAGCCAACAGTGTGCTCTTTGTTGCAAAAAAAGGGGGATGGGGGCAGATCGAAGCAAAGGGAGAAAAAATTATTTGGGGGCAGGCTTCCTCAGTAGGGAAGTCCCACCCAGCCAGGGCCCCACTTAACTTACCCCTGCTCTTGGCTCTGTAGCACTGTCCCTCACTGCGGGGGCTTCTATCTAGCTCCCGTTCCTTCCCTCCCCCATAGACTGACCTGCAGGGCTGGGGTGCATGCATGCATGCACGTGGGCACTCAGTCCCCCACCCCAGCCTCAGGTTGACTCCAAGAGGCTTCAGGATCTACTGCAAGAGGCTCTGAGATCTACTGGTGGATCGAGATCCACTGGTTGGTGACCACTGGTATACAAGTTCCCTAAGGCACTCCAAGCTAGAGTGTCTTCATTTACTACCTGACTTAATGAGGGTTACGTTTTCATGCAATTGGCCTTTTTAAAAGTGCTCTGCAGCCATGCACGGTGTTATGACACAGCTGTAGAGTGCTTTTAGGGGCCAGATCACACACAAAAAGTCCCTTCTATCTGCACCCCAATATTTGGGGTGTACAAAAATAGCTTTAAATAATTTCATTCAGGTACTTGGAAAGTTTTCAAGCAAATATTTATCTTCACACTTTCCTTTATGGTTTTAGTTTGTACTAGGCTTAGAAAGTTGCCACATATATTGTACTGAACTGTTGTTCACATTAGCTCATCTATTGATTTGCCTTTTGATTTGCAAAGCATTCTAGAAAAAATGTTAACGGCTGAAAGGCCCTCTTAAATGTGAATTGATAGTAGTGATAGTTATTCTTTAGTTGGCACTCCCTGGTAATTGCTTTGAACAGCTTTGATATATGCACATTGAGATGAGTCAGGCAGAAAAGTTCAGAGTTCTGCTTCTTGTTAATATTTCTGCATCAGTAGACCGCTTGAGGAGCAGTGGGAAAAGAAGGTAGCAATAGCATTTGACAAAGGGCTACCTTTTCATTTGTAATGAGTACTGTGATACTTGTAAAGAAACTGAAAATACTGGTTCTTGTGGAGGTGATGAGCTAATAGCAAAGGCTGTTTCCACACACAAGGAAGGTAGGCTTTGTATAATTGTCTTTTCATGGTTCTGTCAGTTCATTACGCTGACCGATTACTGACCTAATAATATCAGTTATTGCAGAATTGAACCTCTCTCCGGAAGAGACT